GATCAGCTAATCGGGCCCTTCATTTTATTGCATTTGGGGCTGGATGAAGGACATTGTGTACCAGGTAAAGGTACAAACACGTGAAGCGTTGCTTGAACGTATTCTGGACGCGGCGATGAGAATAAGGAACAAACGTGTGTCACTGAGAAATGCTACGAGCGCGGTTCATACGCGTGCGACGCGTTGTGTTGACGTGCAGGCAGAAATTTTTGACAATCTTATGTAAACCCAGTCGTCTTCTAAAGCACTACAGTTTAAAGGAAACACATTGATAGAAGGGTGTGATATGCAACCATTGGTATGTTTACACAATGGGATGCTGAAAATAATCTAATTTTGTAACATAAAGTGGATGAAAAATGTTGCACAATGCAAAATTAAGAAATTGAGAAAAAGAATTGGTTTTAGAATGCTTCTTTCCTAAAACATTAACGATTTAAAAAGTGTTTGTATTGTATTTCTAATTTGCTTTGACTGAAATTCGGAGAAGAAGAGATTTTTCGCCAGTTTTCAAATTACTGTATCTCTTTAATTATGAGTTGGATACCATTAGTATATTAACATTTTCTGTTCCAAATTACCTCAGGAATGCTCTCCCCAAGTGGGGGTAAAACTTCGTGAATCGCCCTATATATGAATTTGTTGCTGCATACGGGGCAGTGTTATCGTCTTCAGAAAAATGAATCTTATAGGAGGTGTTACTTCTGTATGCAATAAATACATTCCTGCTAAGTGCCCAAACAACAGATGCAAACAAGATACATTAATAATTATCCTCGAATGTGTTTTCTCCGGTATTTTTCCTTAGCATGCCAAACTTGACCCATTTTCCCATCTTGGATACCCGGAAAGTAGTTTCGAAGCTTCTCAATAATACATGAGAAAATTCTTAGCACCTGAAAGTTTTATTTGTTTATTTACACGAATGCTTTCCCATCTTCTGAGAACCGCGACGCAATGCATAATTTATGAGGCAGAACGAAACGCTGCCTTTAGAAGTCCTGGATATCAGGAGTCCCGTTTTATTTCTCTCAGGACGATTGAATCTCAAGGCGAGTTCAGCCATTAACTGTAAGGACCTCACTGAATTGGATGCGGATCCAGATATAAACCCGGACCTCCTGATTGTGTACTAACGCATCTCACTTAACGCAGCTGGCATTCGCGAATCGACGTAAATATTTATAGTTTCTGTGTTTTGAGCTGCTGATCTGAGCGTGCCGAGTGTCTGATAATAAAAGAACAACGGTCGCAGATTATGGGACTGACTTTATTGGTCTGTAGCCCGCTAGACTGCACGTCGTTTCCAGATGCGTTGTTGTGTGTGGTCCGCTTCATGTCTCTCCCAACTCTGGATGCAGAAGTGATCTTCACAAGTCCCGTAACGAAGAGCAACATACATTGTTAACAAACAAGTGCAGTACCTTTCCCCTGCATTTCATTAAGCATTTCAGACCCAAACGTTGGAAATGGCTGAGGGTGCAAAGGATTCCTAATTTTAAAATGACATGAAAACTTTGCCACCCATATCACCATTGCTACGCAACGGCTCGGTAAACACAACCCTGGAGTTAACGCTCTCAACAATACAAGGACGTCCGTTGCTAGGTAACGGGGCAATAAACATGCATTCTAGGACAACAGAGGAAAAGTGGTTTTCGTGGTGTCCGTGTCGGAGAATTATAAGAGGACAGAGAAGGAGTTCGAGGCTCGCGGCTGTAGTAGTACAGAAGATTACAAGCAGTACAACGGAGAACGAGAATCACGCGAGTCCTCGGTAGTCTGGTCAAGAGTTCGCCTGCAAATTTATTGCCAGCTGTTGTAAAGGAAGTGCCAATAATTCCAGTCGTCCAATCCAGAACCCCTTAGTATTCGTCACGCAGTCATAAATATGTGACAATGTTAAAATGGTTAGAATATTAAAAATTAAAATGAAATATTGAAATTGAAATTTCGCCTTGTTTGCGTGTGATGCACT